GCGGGAATCCGGCGGGAAGAACCCGCTGACCACGCGGTTCAGGACTGAACTTCTAATGCTCTCATAAAAGTGGGTGGACTGGAGTTGGATTACTCAGAAACTTATCTCGCTGAACTTCAGTTGCAGCCGGATGTTACCGGGGTTTTACCTTTTTCTTTTTTTTTTTTTTTAGTGATCCTATGAATTCCAAAATGAAACAGAATGTGAACGTGGAGAAGTCATCGGGATCTTTGCAGGTATAGGCCTTAAAGTCTTGAAGCCAGATAAGGGAGCAGATAAGGGATAGGAAACAGAAGGTGAAATTTATCAGGAATGTATCCAACACGGTGTTTGCTTTGTTCCAAGGTTTGTGCTCAGCTCTGGGAAACGGTCCCTCTGTCTGACACAAATTTTGTATCCGCTGAAGGAGTACAAAGGGATCTTTTGTAATCTGCTTCCACCTGGCTTACGTCCTGTTGGCTTGAGTAACCTGGCAGGCGGTGTAATGTGGCTTGGGAACGCTCTGTCCTGCTTGGGCACATGTGCTTAGAACTACTTTTTTTCTTACTTCTCGGTTTTTATTACATGTCCTTTTTATTTTGACACTGAGCTTGCTGTCTTTTTACGTCTTGATTTTTTTTGTTTGTTTTTTAACGGTACAGTCTACCTGCCTCAGTTGGGTTACTGAATCAGCCTGGTGGTTGAGCTGTTGTAGCATAGGTTCTTGTAGTCTGCCCTTTATAGGGATAAACTTACTAAGAGTTAAATCTGTCTTGACTTGAGTTTGCTGTAACTGAAGTATTGATGTTCTGTCTCTAAAGCTGCCCCCGTGAACCGTAGTTGCTTTGGAAGTGGTGGAAATGCTTAAAGGATTTACCTTTTTAAGAGGTGACTGCTAAGTCTCTTAAGTTTATACTTATGCTAGTCTTGTTGCTCTTGTTAAATCTACAATAAATTGCATACAGTAGTACTTCACGATATTTTAACAATAAACAAAAAAAATGATTTAACAGTTACACAACTTTTAAACAATAAATTCTTAATTACAAATACTAGCTGGATTTGTAGACGTGCCATATAAATTAGAGGCTAGTTAGCCCTCTATCACGAGGCTTAGAATGATTGCAATGAAGCTTTCTGGTGTTAATGAAAATGGCCGAGTGATAACTGACTTATGCATGTGGCAATCTTGTCCTGTGGTGACTAGGATATAAATCCCTCTGTGTGGCTTTTTGCCCTTTCAGTGGGGTTAACTCAAGGATTAGTTAATTTCTTGGCAGAGCGTACTGACTTCTAACCTTCAGTAGCAGCAAGCAGTGTCTGACACGGTGTGCTGCTTGTTCCCACAGCAGTTAGTGTTTGTCCTTTGGTTCAACAGCGGGATAATTGGTGGCAGAAACTACCGTGGGAAAGGAGAGCTCTTGTCAGATGCAGCACGGTGTGACTCGGGAACTTTCTCACGCCGCTGTGGCATTGTGTTCTGGCGAGCCTTGCTTGGTTGTCTGCCATTGTTTGCTGTCCCGTGGTGGCAGTGTAAGCAGCCCGATCAGAAAGCTTTGGTGGGAGAAATGGGTATTTGCACTTGACAGGAAAAGTGATAACCATACTGTAAATGCAAAACAATAGCCTGTCCGGGTCGAAGCAAGGGAAGCTTTAGAGCCACTTTAGTGGAGATTTGAAGAAACACATCTGTTTAAATGAACACCACTTGGGGGTGTGTTCACAGGTAACAAAACCAGGTACTGCCTGAGATGCTGTGTGACTTTATGGCAATTGCAAGTTTAGATGTTAACTTTTGTTTCTGCCCTCCAGAGTCTGGTACTGCTGTTCTCAAATACAAATTGGAGTTTCAGCTAAAGATTGTGTGTCACTGCACTGTAACTGGCCTTGAGATCTGGTCAGGATGTTCTGCTGTAAAATCTTTATGAAGGGGTAGTTTTCTGAGGCAGGGACTTGAGCATATCTTTGCATGATTAAGAGCCATCTCTGCTCTGAATAAATCCCCATCTTTACACAAACCATAACATAGGCTAAAGTACCTTTTTCGTCTCGAAAAGGTGAACTGTGGGTTGCCTTACTGGGAGCGTGACCGATTCGTAACTTTCAGTCCACGTGGAGAAGAGTGGGAACTGACTGAAGCCCTGTTTGTCTTTTCAGAAGTACCTCATAGACACCACAAGCAGTGCTGCTCCAAGACGAACTCTTAAAATGATTCAGCCTTCAGCAACGGGCTGCCTGGTTGGCAGACGCAATGAGGTATAAATTAAACAATAACCTCTAGGTAGATGTATGATTATTTCTACTTCTAGTGAAATGGTTTTGAGTTTTTCACTGAAAACTAACATTTGAAAAAACTTACAATCTGCTAACTAGTGTGACACCAACTTAAGCTTGCTATTACTTGAGTAATAAACTACTAACCTAGTAATTTGAGTATTGCAGGAAAATGTTTTATACATTTCTTTTGTTAAACCTATGGGTATCAAGGTGGCTGTGAACTAGAACTATGATGTGAAGGAGGCAGGGCTTATAAAGGTTTTGCAGTCATGAGTGAGCAGACTTCAGCTTTTTTTAATAATACAAACTGGTAAATGTTGCTTCAAAGTTAAACCTGCCTGTGTTCTATGCAGAAGAAATCTTCAGTCAAAAGGAAACTCTGCAATAAGAAGCTCATCTCAAAGGCTTGTCAGGCTGAGGTGTCTGTGGACAAGGAGCAGGAAAATGAGAAGATGAATGATGGCATTCAAGCTATAGATCTTATGATGAAAGGTTTGTGGTAATTCGTGAAATGTTTTCTTGCACTTAAAATGCTATGGTTCCATTGAAATAGCACTTGAAACATGGTTCCTTTGTCAGTTAAGTAAGGGCTTTGTGGTTTTTTTTTTTTAATTCCTAGCAGGAGTCAATGATAGTGTAACTATCTAGCAGTGGTTAAGAATGAGTTTATGGTTACCAGTAGCTGAGAACCATTTTGTACAGCACTGCTACCAAGTCCTGTAGTTTGTGGCTTGGGCTTGGCTATGAGCTTTTCAAGTGGCTAATAATTCTGATGAAAGGACAGTTGAAATGAAGGCCTGTTTTGGCATAATGAGGTGCACGTGCTATCTCTAGTTTTAAATTTACAACGAATCTCTGGGAAAACACCATGGAGTGAGTTCTTGTTACAGTTCATAGAACACTTGTATACAAGTTTAGGTATCTTCAGGTGATCTCAAGAACTCAGTATTAGCACAGACTTACTGTAGCTTCTTACTTCAGGAAGCCCTTCATCTCAGTATTGGAAAGAAGTAGCTGAAGAAAGGAGGAAGGCTCTGTATGAAGTGCTTCAAGAAAATGAAAAGGTAGCCAGTGAAACATAACTTCTTTACCACTCACTATTGTCTTCTCAGTTTAATATTTTGTTATTTGAACTCAGCTGCACAAAGAAATTGAACAGAAGGATGGTGAGATTGCCCACCTGAGAGAAGAAAATGAAGAGCTCATGTCCCTGGCTGAACACGTGCGTTATATGACCAGTGTGATCGAGGTACTTGGAGGAATTTACAGTTCATGTTGTAGAATGAGAAAGTGAGAAACCAGCAAAGAAATGTGTGCTCACAACTCAGTTACCATCTGACCTGCTTCCTGTGGGATTGCTCTGATCCAGAGGCATAAGGCTCCTTCCAGGGCATAACCTTTTCACCTTAGAACCCACAGGAGAAAGTGCTAAGGGTGATGTTTTCTGAAGGGGAGAGTCAAACTATTGTGTTAACAGAACAGGCTTTGCATTTGAGAGGTGGTGCCAAGGGAAAGAAGGATTCATCTCTACTTTTCTGAGGTGACTTAAATTCAAATGCCTAATAGGTGTGTGTGAGAGGCTGCTGGCTAAATAAAGTATTTGTATATTCTGTGTCCTTGGAGGAAATAAACTTGAAACAAGGACACAAAGTAGAGCAGTGAAAGGGAGAAGTGAGCACCTGTAAGCTTTAAATCGGGGTTTCTCTGAAGAATTGCCAGGTTCTCAGCCCAAAAAGGGCTGATACACAAAGTGCAAGTTCCTAAACTTGTAAATTTCAGAACAGCTCCTTCTGAGAATTCCTTGGGGACAGGTAGTTGTGTTGCTGATTCCATGACTCCTCTGCCAGGAGTAGATTGTCTGTAACAGCCTTTGAAGCTGTGATAAATAGCCATGGAACCTTGATACTAAAGTTATCAGCTGAGTTGTTTTTGTAGGCATGGAGCTCTCAACTAGGTTGAGGCTTGTTGCCTGTCAAATTTTGAGTCTCCAGTTAGACTGGGGAGATGGAAACAAATTGGAAGATTATTGCTATCAATGTAATTGAAGTAAACTTGATGGAGTTAATTTTCAGTTAATGCAATTTAGGTCACTCTTGAAAGATTCCACTAATTTGTTACACTTGAATTTTTTGGTGTTCAGGAAGTGCTGCTTGTTAGTGATAAACCCACAGGCAGAGATTAAATGATTTAAGGACTTAGAGAAGTAAGGTAGTTGGAAATTTCTCTGCAGTTCCTCAACAGTTAAGTTAGCTTATTAGTTGTAAGCTGCTCACTTTTGAGGCTTTAATGAGCCTTAAGTGATACATCAAACAAGGAGAAGCCTCAAAAGCAGCCTGTTCCAGTCCTGTTTTTCTTCCTAAGGTCAGGTTAGGTGAGGAATTTTTATTTTGATCAAGTGGTAGAATCTGCTGGATCTTCTAGTTCACCTAGACTTTATGTAGCTTCATGTTGTGATTTAAAAATTATGAACTTAATCTGTTGTATAGTAATTTTTCTAAAATGAAACCTATGTAGTGCTATAGTGATATTTCACCTGGGAACCTGTTTCCCCGATTTTAGGTTGCCTAAGCTACAACCTGTCCTACTGAGGAACCTAAGCCTAAGGAAGGCTTGATGTGGTCTGTGAGTTAGAGGTAGCAATTTGAGCTGAACTCGAGTGTCTAAGATTCTTGTGACTGAGGAATGGTTTAATAACAATCTCCAAATGAAGATAGCTTGCTTATTTGAATATGCAGTCTTCTTTCACTGGCTGTTAAGCAGAAATTAAGTTCACTGTCTGCTTCTTTCTAGAGGCTAACTGGGGAAGCACCTGACAATCTTGAGACACCAAAGAGTCTGGTTCTGGAGGAATCGAAACAAGAAGCTGAAGAGCTCACCTGTGGAGATGGTGCAGACAGCACTTCTGAAGGACCATCACGAGTATCATGTGGTTTAAGGGAGAGTGTGTCAGACCCTGCTTCAAAGGAAGCAAGTCATTTGCAACTGGAATGATGACCTTTAAATAGGCTTTTGTATGTGGCTTTTAATTGCAGACTTCCTCTTGAAAGGATGTACTAGAACTTCTTGGTACTGAAACTAGAGGAAGCATTGCAGACGTCGTTTTTTAACTGGAATTATGTAGCAGTGGGAGTATCTGGGTACTGCGCAGAAAGCTTAGTACAGGCTGCAGTACAGGCTGCACTTGGTTGCTTGTATAAAGTGCAAATACTGTGTATTTCAAACTGTTGTGTAAATATCCGTTGGTTTGACACATACATGGAAATTGATAAATAAATCTTTGCCTTACCAAAATAGCCTCTTACTTGAGTGGGGAAGGGCTAGCTCCAGGCTTGTCAGTCAGTTGTGGCCACTGTAGATAGAATCATCTTTCAGGCTTTTCTAGTGAGTCCCGGGCAGTTTTTAACTCCTTAGATTTGCAGATTTCTGGAGAACAGAGTGCTTTTGGTGGATGGGGAAAGCAAAACTTGTGCGCTAAGGGTATATGAGTCAAGATCTAAAGCTGAGTTAGACTTATGCTTTTCAGGCCGTGTTTTTTTAAGTAATTGCCTCTGTCTTTTAAGGGAGCCTTTGCCAAGGTGTATAGATGAGAGCTTAAGTAGGAAGTATTGACAGTCTGTTTTAGAAATGTATATACTGGCTTCTAAAGAGAAGATGGAGTGTTCTTGTTCCTAATAGCAGCTGTAATGCAAATTAGATGGAGACAAAGCAGCCTACACTTCAGAGCTGTTCTGGAGGTAAACAATGTCTGTTTTCAAAGTACTGCTCTGGTATTTGTGAGGAAATGAGGCACCTCTTTACCAAGGTAGTAATGTTCTGTAATGTTTACAGGAATAAAAAACAGTCTAAAACTTTGAGCACCTTATCTGGAATCTGTGGGAGGGGTAGTAGTGCTTGCTGAGGTAGAAGGGGAGAGTAAGTTGAATGTAAGTTTTCTGGTTCTGAGAACTGTTCTTAAAGGAAACAAGATCTTACATGGATAAGCTTTAAAAGATGGTGGCCATAGCAGTTATCTTGTGAAGATCTTAAAGTTGAGTGGCTTTCAGGAGGCTGAGATAACCAGAGGAATTCTGCTTTATGGATCTATCGGGCCTTGCCAAAATGGGTGTGAATGCACCTGTGGAACTTTCAGACTGGCACCTTTAGAGCCTGCCCTTGCCTCATTCTGTCCCTGTGGGTGTCAGTAAGTTAATGGATGCTTCACAAGTGATGTATGTTGTGACATTCAGGGTATGTCAGAGCCATTGTAGGCAGTAATGTTCCTTCTGGCTCCCATTTCACCATGAATCTGGTAATGACAGGGTGAGGCATCACATTGTCCTGGGAGCTTGGTAAACAACAGGTTACACCTCCCAGTTTGCTCTAGGGGGTGCTTAGGCATAATCCTTTCCATCACAGTGCAGAAATGGTGACCAAGTGTGTCCTTTTAACTTGCACTGATGCTGCATTTAAAAAAAAAACACACATCTGGATGCTGGGTAATTGTTTTGTAGAGTAACTGAGGTTTTCTGTTCAAAAGAAATGGATAATACTGTCATGTGACTTAAACCTCTCCCATCTCAGAATGAGTGATTTTTTTCATATCAAAGTAGTTCTTCAATTGTAAATAAGGCAGTGCATAAATTATTCATAGTAAACAGCAATTTTTTTTTTAGAGGTGGCTTTATCTTTAAACATCAGGAACACTTTGCATTTGCAGGCACTACGTCACTAGCTGGCCTGGCAGATCAATCCAGCTGAGACAGCAAGTACAATTTTTTTTTTCCACCATTTCACCTCCTGCTCTGAACAGCTCTAGTACAGGTGCTGTTAGAACAAACAGCTGCCAGAAGGTAACAAATCCAGAATTTTCCTGTTATCTGCATCTGGATCTAACTTATTTTCATCAAGATGGTCAAGGAAAATGCTTATACTTAAAATCTTGTGCTTTTTCTTGAGTGATTTTGTTTAAATAACAAAGACAAGACAGTCCCCTGGGTGGCTGGATCTGCTGAAATTGTGTACAGAATAAATCACACAAGTCCTTCCTGCAGCCTGATGGAGCTATTGCAGCATTTGGCCTGCCTGTGGCAGAAGGCTTTCCATCAGAAAGGCATGTTCTACTTACTGATATGTACACTTGCACCTGGAATCTTCAAGGCTACTATGGTTTTACTAAATTTATTAGCAGAGAGAATAGTTTGCTGTATAAACTCTTGAAAAAACATGCTGCAGAAGACCGGGTGTGAGAGCTGCATTATGACAGAGCGTGTGGGTGGGTTTCATTCCTGTCTCTGTCATGGATGTATTGGACCTTGATCAAACCATCTCCCTGTGCCCATTACATCAGAGAGATTAAGGTATGGAAGTACTGTCAAAAGTTCTATGATGCTCCATTTGCTTTTTAAAAATGTTCTACAAGGATCAAGTTTCATTTGTTGTCCTGAAAATTCCTGATAGTGTTTTAAAATACATCCAGTAGAACTATGTAAGTCTAGGAACTTTGCATGTCAAATGTATAGAAACTATACAGAATTGTGTGGTTAGTTTTCTTAGAACCCTCTGACCTTCTATTTTTCAGTATATGGGGAACCTCTCATTTACCTCTGACACGTAGCTGTGTAACAGCTGAATATCAGCATCACTAAAGACAAAGACATTTCATATCCAGCCAAATTACAGAGTGTTCTTTCCAGCCAAATAAAATTACCAGTTCTGGAACCTAACTGCAGAGTGTGATTCTTTCCAAGAAGTCATAAATGCTTTTGTGTGGCAACTTGCCTAGCATGTGGACTCCTCATTGCAGAGGCTGCAGCCATGATCTTGTCTCTCACTGAAATACCCTAAGGCTGCTCAAAAGTGGGGTGCAGCTACTATGTCCTAGCACTTCCTCCTTCAAATGTGTCCTAGCAGACAGAATTTCAGGTATGGAGGACTGAAGTGGGGGGAGATGGGCCAAGTTCAGGTGTCAGATATTTCAAGAAGGAGCAGCTGTGCAGGGACTGGTGGATGCAAGCTGACTGGGGGAAGAACTTACCATTGGTTAAGGGGAAAAAAGCCATAATTTTAGCATAAACACCCCTTGTATTTAAGAGTGTGTGGAGAAGAGAATAAAACCATAATAACTTCTTGGCTGAGCAACTGAAACGTGTGTTTGGCGTTGTATTGCTTCTTACCTGAGGGCCTACAGCACTGTGGTGTGTTGAGGCTTATCTTGCAGCCTGTGTGTAAGTCATGAGCTTGGTCATGGATTTTTTTTTTTTTTTGAAGGAAGCATGAGGCAGATTCATTCATGTTTCCTTAACAGCCATCTGAGGTTCTTTTCAAAGTTGTATTTGCAATTTTGAGCAGATCTGCCAAGGCCATGCATTTCCAGTGCTGTTCTTGAGACTTGAGTTATCAATGTCTTCTTCAACAGACAATATTTGTTGTATATTTTAATTTCTCTTTCCATTCTTGAGATAACAAAGTAGTTCAGCAAATGATAATGGTGTTCTGAGAAAACTTAGTTTGCTGCTGCTTTGTTGATCTGCCAAAAACTGCCTCTAATGAAGTGTGTTTGGCCACATTGGAGGTCTAACCCTTGGGGATGACAATCCCTCTGTCATACTCTCGGGGGCACTGCCACCATTTGAAGGGGGAGGTTGCTGGGATCCCATCATGAGGATAACCACTGTGATCAGCAAAGCAGGGGGGCCATACTTCAGATACAGTCTGGCAGGCATATAGACTCCTGATTTTAAATGCTTAGTCAGCAACACCTGTATTTTGGGTAAAGCTACAGCAGATAATTTTTCTGAAAGTAGCAGGTCAGGAACGGGAGGAACCTTGCTGACAGGAACGTGAAGCTCTTGGCAGCCTAACTTGGGCTGGAGCTGTAGCTGGAGTAGTGTAGTGGCACCATGAATTAGTATCTACCAGGCAGCACACAATAACACCATGGTAGGGGTGGTGAAAACCACCATAGTTCATGAAGAGCAAGAGTAAGCCACCAACCAAATCACCAGGCAAACCTCTTTCTTACCCCGGTTTTCCTAGTGAGTTATCTCTAGGCTGTGCTGCTGCTGAGTTATTTTGGTACAGGAACTTTTTCCTAACGTGCTTCTCTGGGGTGGACCAGAGCTTTAAGTCTGGGTCAACCTGCCGCAGCCCTAAAAGAGATTTTGTAACTGGTGGTTCCTTTGTAGCTGTAAGTGTCTGTCTTGTGTTACGTTCACCTTTATGAATCTTGTTTTTCCTACTCCATAAAGGAGAGCTCTTGCATTAATGCGGTAGGAAAGGGCAGCACTGTCAGCTCTGTGAACATAAAAACATGTAAGTTATGAGACAAATACAGTGTTCCTTTTTATTTGCCTTCTGGTTTTAGAAGACTTAAGGATTGCTCCCTTTTTCAGGGTTTTGTAGCCCTGAAGGCAGAAAATTAAAGGATTTTGTCTGGTTTTGTTCTTAAATCAAGTAGGATTTTTTTTTATACATATTGTCATGAATCATGTTAGAACATGACTCCTTGTTGGTTTTTAAAGCAGCATTAATGCTCAAAGTGAAATTTAGCCTCTGCACATCTACGTGCCGGGTTCAAGCTTGTCAGTCTGATACCACAACAGGAACTAGATTGGGTCTAACCGTTCCCACTAGAATTCCTGTGAATTTCCTCATTGACTTTGTTGTGAGCAGGATTTGCTCCTGTCTGGTTTGTGTGAGCTGAGTAAGTGGGTTTTAATGTTTATAATCATGTAGCAGTCCAGCTTTAGTTTCATAAACTTCCCAAAGGGTGGATTTGAACTACGGTGAGATGAATGTAGATGGAAATAGATACAAGCTCCATTTGGCATGGCACCTGCATACGTGAGCAGCCCTGCGCTCTCTGCTCGACGTGCAGTTCTGTGCTGTAAGCCTGGGTGTCTGTAGGAGGAAAAGGAATGTCTTCTGTCTGAGACAAGCCTGTCTTCCCAGAAGGGAAGAAGTAGTCTGCAAAAGCTCAGTAACAGTCCTGGAGCCTCTTCAGCATATGTTCT